TTCGTATTGTTCTTCCTTGTGACACTGGGGTCCCCTTCTTGTTGTTTTCATTGCCGGGAGATCTGACTCGCGTCAGCCGTAGCTCTGCGCAGATTGCTGCGGGAATGGACTGCCTGCAGCGGGCCCGTGTGGTCACGGCCCAAGACTCTCGACTTCCGGAGAGACTTTTGCTGGTTTTGCTTGGCGATCGCAACAGGAACCAGCATGTCACTGCTGTCCTTGGCCAATGGGGCCTTTTGCTGCCGTCGATGGCTTCTTTGCACAGGTCCATGCAGACCTCTCCTGTCGGAACATTTTGGTGAGCGCCATGGGCAAGGACCGGAAAAGAAGCCCGAGAGAGGGAAGCGAGGGGCACCGCTTTTTGGGCAGGACCCGGACTCCATCCGCGTGAAGGCACCGCATAGATTTTCAATAGAGGGGAGAGGGCTGCACTGAGGCCCAGGGCGTCCGTTCGGGCGTGTGAGAGACGTACGTGCAGGTCACGGACTTCGGCCTCTCTGCAATCATCAAGGCCGAAGAGGAAGCGGAGCGCTGACAGGGAGGAAGAAAGCGCATCTCCACAGGAGGGCACGGACCACGAGATCCGCAAGCAGCCACAGGAGCTGAGCTGAGCCGTAAGGACGAAGCTTTCGGAAGCCACAGCCCCTCAAGTTGAACACAAGCCTTCTCAACTTGGGACGGGCAGATTTTTTTCATGTCTCCGTCTCAGGCCACACGGTGGGTGTCGCCTGAGACCTGCGCCTACCAGAAGCCGGGGCCCAGCCCCCTCTCTCGGTCTCGGTCTGCCAGCTTTCAGGGTCAAGAGAGCTCGTCTGCTCTGGTGCCCGCGGCTTCCTTGCAAGCTCCTGCGATGCCGAGCTGAATGAACCTGCGGGAACGACACAAGAACGGGTTTTGGGAGGGTCTCCCTGTTCAACGAGCCCCTTGTGGTCTCACTCTTTTTCCGCATGAGCTTGAGAAAGCGGGAGGTGCGTGCAACCCTTGACTCAGTTGTTGCTTTTCGGCTCTCAGCCCCTTCGCTGCCAGCTGTCTCCTGTGCCTTCGTCAGCAATGCCTGCACACTTCGCTTTGCTCTTCACCGTTCTCGGAGCTGCTGGTAGCTACGTGCAGAGGCCAAGCTTCAAAAAGCCATTTCCCGACCCGGCGCTCTTCCACAAGAGCGGACGGCGCTTGGCTCCCGAAGGAGACAAGCCGGAACGTCTGCACTTTGACGTGGAAGATCGTGGTTACCGCTTCCGCTACGACTTCGGGGGCACCTCTACGGTGGAGCGTGTCTTCGACTTGGATGTGGAAGGTGTGGAGGGCATCGAATGCATGCCCGGGCAAGACGGCTTCGATCGAATCAGCATTCTTTGGAGCAATCAGACTGTCGCCCATGCAGCGAACCTTCAACAACATGTGGCAATCGGCCTGCATTTTTGGGTTCTTGATGGCTCTTGCGTCCTCACTGTTGTGTGGAGCAACTTAGTCCGACATGTCGACGCCAGAGTCAAGCGCTTCTTTTGACACACCATCGTGGGTTTGCCAGACCTGAGTCATTCCCAGGTGATCACTGGAGCGCCCGAGTGGCGCTGCAGCTTGTCTAGCACGTCCAAGAAAAGCTCTCGCAGCTCAAACTTCGTGGCACGGATCTTCAAGGTGGGAGCACGAGGAGCGCAACAATGCTTGAGAAGATTTCAGAATCTTGAAAACATTCTGTACTTGGCTTGCAAGTCTGTCCAGGTGGAAGAGTCTGGGCTCAGCACCCAGCTCCACGTCGTCTCTGTCAGCCCAGTGCAGCTCTTCAAGAACTTGTACATGGCGCTGTCCTGGGAGCAGGTGAATCCGAGCGGTGCCGGAGGTGGTGGACGAAGGCTTCGAGCAGAATGTGGCAACTTAGCTGAGATAGGAAACAATTAAGATTGATGGCATTGCGTCAAAGATTCGAAAACTTCCGCCTAGTTGCCTATTCTGTGCAGCGATAAGCACGTCTTGTAATTGTGGGGCGGGCCAATGCTGGCATGTTGCTCATCTTGAATTTGAATGATGAAGCGATACGTGCATTTGCATTTGCATGTTGCTGCCAAGGTGACTATACTTGGGATCTGAACTATGATTGCCAACGCCAGAGGGCCCAGAGCAGCTATTCGATTGGTCCATTCACATGTTCTGACTGTTATGCGACCTTGACGGCTACACCCGAGTTCAAGGTGGAGACCAACAGCCGAGGAATTCCCACCAAAATCTCTTTGAACTTGGCTGCTAAGTTCGAAGCCCAATTGGAGGTGCGCCATGATTCCAGCAATGTGGATGGTGATTGGCAAACACTTCATGAGGGGCAATTGTCGGGTAACTTGATCAACCGTGGTCTGTCGTTCACCATGCCGGTTTTTGGCAGCCTTGTAAGTTCGATCAACAGCTGGACCCTCAACATCGGCATCTACATGACCTACAAGCTGTTGGGACAGGCAGATGTTCGAAGCAGCCTGGATGGCGTTTTGAGGTCCCACCGCACATTGGAGTGGACCGGTGCTGAAGTCGCATGGACTGCAGACTCTGGCATCTCATGGTCACTGGGCTCGGTCAGCAACTCGGGGAGCAGCTCATACCCAGACCTTACAGATTTCTCCGCGGATTTGCGAGCTTCTCTTGCCCCTTGTGCTGGTTTGGAGTTCAACTACGGAGACGATACAATGACGGAAGTGTCAACGTGCCTGAGCCGCAATTTTTCTGCAACTTTGCGCAGCACATGACCGGTCTATAAGAGAATTGTTGGTTGCTGGAAAAAAGATGGCAGCGGAATTCCTATCCTGAACACAATCTGTGCTAGAGCAGCGGTGAAGGATGTCGCACAAGCAAGCATAGGGAGTCCTTCGCATTCAATTGATCCTTCATACTCCGGAAGAAAATCCCCCCTCCACCGGCCCCCTGTCCTGCAGCATGCCGCTTGGTGTGCGCAGGGAGTCATGGCATCAAAGTAACCAGCATCACAGCCATCGCCTTCGTTACCCTCATGATCCGTCATCATCACCATCATCAGCAGCATCAGCATCGATCATCGCGCTACTTTTGTCCGCCCGTCCCGTCAACTATGAGGCTTGGAGGGGCATGTGGCGTACTCCGCTGAGAAAGCGACGACGACCGTAGCTGCGGATGCGGTGGCCGAAACCTCTCAGGCGGGCAGTGGGAAAGACTCGAGAATCCTGCAATGAGAGAGCATGGGGAATCGGGCGTTTGTTTTGCAGAGGAAGGCTTTGAGCATGGGGTGGGTAAGCTATGCATTTTTGTGTTTGCAGTGATTCTATGGCTAGCTGGTCCCAAGCTGGAAGCTGCACGACCTTGTGTGAATATGGGAGGCCTACGATGCAAGGCTTTGTGTTGACATTTACGAGTTTGCGACCGATGGAGACTTGGACTTGAACTGGGATGAGCCTTACGCTGGGTGGTGCTTCATGGGAAAGTGCTTCTACCGAGACTGGGCTCGCTTCAGTGGCGATACGGTCACTTGGAGCTCGGGTTACGAGTGCATGGACATCCAGACTGTCTGGCTCCAGACCAACAAGCTTTACTTGGAAGTCTGGGAATCTGACACTGTCTGGGATGATGTCTACATCGAGCGATTTGCGCATGATTTGAAGAGTAGCATTGATGACTTGTGGGGCGGCAAGGACTGGCGTCACACGTGCACCCCAACTTCGAAAAGTGGGGGAAACTATGCTACTCTCAAAGCGAAAGTCCGTCTCTACTCGACACGTTTGCTCACGATGTCTAGTGCCAGTGGTGCCTGTGGTCAAAGTCTCTATGCCGGTGCAGGAGTGCATGGTGGCATATCAGGCTTCGTTCTTCCCAATCTGTGGAGTCATGGGGGTACGAAGCTGGTGGATCCCATTGTGATCCCAAGCTACAGGCAAGAGATGTCACAGAAGGTGTGTACAGATCTCCCGACCTCCACGACCACTACGACCACTACGACCACTACGACCACTACGACCACTACGACCACTACGACCACTACGACTACGACCGCCGCGACCGCAGATCAAGACGATAACGATGGGAGCAACTCCAACGATTACTACGGCCCTGCCCTAGCCGCGAGCGCCTTGGTGGCACGAGCAGCGATGCAAGCCGGCTACGCTTATGGGCTTGTGGCAGTTGCTCGAGTCGCCCTGTCAGAAACTTTCATCTCGGGACGGATTGTGAGAGCACCGATTTCCCAACCGGTACAAACGACAGGGCCGTTTAAGCAATGCTGAGGGTTGGACCTGGCGTGTAAGATCTGCTGTTTGCGGCCCTTGTGAGAGCAAGGTTTATAAACGATTTGGGATCACTTTGCCGTAGAATGCCTTTCGCCAAGGAGCCCACTTTTCTGGTGCGAGTGAGAGCTTGATTGCACTCTTAGCAACGTGGACCCTTTGCGGTTGACAGTTGATGCAGTAAAGTTGGACAGCCCAACTACATGTCTGCTGTTGAGTAGGCACGAAGAGATTTCTTGCCGATACCACAGCATCTGTTTTTGTAACTTCCGAAGTCCATCCTTGGGACTTCCCCTGAAAGAACTCCCTTGCATTGCTCGCGTTTCGGCGCGTTGCTGCTGGTGGCTCACCACTCTGCAATTGAATGTGCTGAGCTGGTGCCACGGCATCTGAATCTCACCGCAACATTGCCGGAGAAGAAAAGCTGCAAACCTGCACGGCAAGCGAAGTGTGATATTATGAAGCAGTCTTGCGAGCGATAGCGGCAAGTGTGCAGTTCCACCCTGAGCCCTGTTTAGCTGCACAGAATGTCGTCTTATCGCTACTCTGCTGCCAGGTTTGATGCGCCAGGCTAGAGCGGTTTTGCCACGTCGAGCGCCGGCCTAGGTTGAGCCATCGCGGCGACGTGTGGTCCACCGGGACGCTGCCGGGAGCCCAAATCAATTCTACCCTTGTGTAAAGGGGTCGATTGGGGAGTTTTTCTGGGGTTTGGTGGTACTGACAAGTACGTTTTTAGGATACGATTGTATGATCCCGGTTCCGGGTGCGCCGACCACCCCTCGGCCCCCCCGTCCCTGCAGACGAATACCACCACGCCGCAGGGCCAAGCAGAGAAAAACCCGAACAACACCACACCACAAAACACGCCCCAAGCTGACCGAAACCCTGAACTACGCCACACCACGGCGTGGGGCAGGAGGCACCCCCAAGCAAACCCAAACCCCGAAAATTAACATAGCTGATCATGACGATGATGATGACGATTTTTCCCAAACACCACTCCAAGCCAAGCCCCACAAAAAGCACCTCACACGGGCACAAGACATTCGGGCCGCACCAGGATCTTTTTGCAGGGGTTCCCTCGCCTCGTGAGGCTTTGGGAGCTGTTCTCCGATGGCCAGATCCCTTGGGTGAACTGGCCCAAGAGGACCGAGGCGCCTTTTTGGACCGGTTGGGCCGGTGTCGGCTTCTTCGAGTAGGCCCGCCCCGTTTTTGGTGCAGGTTGCGACCAAGCTCAAAGCCATGGCGGAGAATCCCGAGGCGCAGCTGAAGAAAGAGAAGTGGTGAGCTGTTCTGTAGATTACGAGATCAGCTCTGTCGGCCCTCAGCTTCGCCTCGGCTTCCTATCGGTGTCTCTTCCTTTCTATATAAGCATGTTTATGGTGTCGCGTGCAGTACTGCGCGAGCTCCATCAATTCTGCTGCGTTTGTTTGTCCTGGGTTTCGCGGCCCTTTTGTCAAATGATGCAATGGCGATGCTTGCCATTTGCATTCTCATCATTGTGCGGTGACGACAGCTTCAGAATGCGTGCTGCCAAGGATAACTCTCGTCATTGGCAGAAGCTTGCCCCTTTTCTCTTTTCCTACGATGAAGATCAGCGCACACACACACACACACACA